TTTCCCCCCTCACCGGGCCGGCGACGGCCCCACACCCTCCCGTGGGCCTCACGGGGAGGGGTCCCTGCTCCCCCCCTCCTCCTCCGTTTTGGGGTGTCCCCGGGGGGCTGCGGGCGGCTGAGGGAGGGGGGGCCTGGGAGAGGGTCCTCCGTCCCCGTCCCCTTCCCCCTTCCGGCCTGCTGCCCTGTCGGTTATCATCATCCTCCTCTCCCCTGGTGCCCGCAGCAATCAGGACGACTACCAGCTGGTTCGAAAGCTCGGGCGGGGGAAGTACAGCGAGGTCTTCGAGGCCATCAACATCACCAACAACGAGAGGGTCGTCGTGAAGATCCTCAAGGTGAGTGTCCCGTGGATGGTGTGCGGGGCTTGCGGTGGCTGGAAACAATGAGGAGAGGATCTGGGTTTAGGCAGGGCCAAAGGGCTGTTGAAACTTCTCCTTCGCCCCAAAACTCCTCTTGTCTTGTTAAGGACATTGGGAGGGTGGGTTTGGAAATGCATGTGGCGTCCCACGTGCTGTAGCGATGTTTTGATGTCTCCACCCCTCCTGCCCAGCATAGCTCTGGGCTGAGAGATCCTGTGGAGGAGGAGAGCAGCGAGTCCTGACATTTGAACAGCATTGCATGTGCTGCCTGCATTAAATCGTGTCTGGCAATCCCTGTCTCAAACAGCCCAGGGACTGCCGTGTCAATAAGAACATGAAGCCTGGAGGGGGGAATCCTTCTGGTAACCTCTAGACAGCTGGCATGTGGCCTTTTCGGAGCCAGGCTGCGGGACACTCAGCAGGGAAAAAAGCAGGCAAAATTTTATATTTGGTCTTTTAGAGGATCTGCCTTCACCACAGGCAGGCCAAAACCACCATGAAACTTAAGGAGACTGAAAGAGGCTGGCTGAAGCTTGGCAGTGTCAGGGACCTGTGTTCTGGTATGTTGGCCCTAGTGAAGTCAGGCTGTGGGGACCCTTGTGCAGCAGCAACAGGTGGTTGTTTGGGGTGGCTGAACGCATGGGTTAGACACTGCAGGACATGCCTTAGCATGTTTGGTGCTGAAGCAGCAGGCTCACAGCAGGCTGTGGTAAGTGTCCTAGCAGCAATCTGCCTTAGTGATCTGGGGGTAGGCAGGGGTGTTAAAAAAACAAATGAAAAAGCTAAGAGTTGAGGTGCTTTTGGTTTTGGCTTGGCTGACACTTGTGGCTGTCACTTGTTGGACTAGCAACACGTGTCACTTGTTCCCCAAGAGCACATGGGAGCTGGTGTCTGACCATGGGTGTTCTAAGAATTTGGGCACAAGTTGATCCGCAGTGTGCGGGGGGGTGTGTGTGTGTGCGTGTCTGAGCTTAACCTGCCCTTGCAGCCCCTAAGACTAGCAGCTACTTAGGACATGTCTCTCTGCAGGGCTGTAGCCTTAGGGCATTTGCTAGATCCCCTCGGATGGTGTGGCTAGCTGTCTCTCCTGATATCCCCCACTCGCTCACTGTGCCTGCTTCCTTGGGATCTTCCTTGGCTTCCCAGACAACATGTCACGGTTTGTCCAAGAGGGCCCCAGGCAAGATGTGATCTCCCATCTGTCTCTGGGAGGAGGCACGCACACCTCTGCTTTGGTTGTGGTCAACGTGGTGGCCAGGTGAGCCATCCGGGAGAGCCCCGGTGGCTGAGCTTGGGTGACAGGGTGGTGAGGCTTATGTGTCCTCACCAAGCTGAGCATCTCTGGCGTACTGTTTGGGCCTCCCCCTCCTTTGGATGCTTTTATGTGGTTTTGGAATTTGTTTGGGTTTTTTTTTTAGGTTGCCTTAATGCCCTGCGAGCAGGGGACCGGATTGTCTCAGGTTTGAAGAAGATGGTGTTGCCACCAGTTCCCCTAGCTCCCCCTACTTGTATTAACATGCAGATGGCATTCCTGCGAGTGAGCAAGGAAAAACAGAAAGTCCAAATAAAGATGAACTTTCTTCTCTGTGGAAAGTGGGTCAGTGAAAAGTGAGTTTCAGAGCACCGCCTTGTGTATGTTATGAAAACCTGTGAAGTGTGGCAGGAACATCACTCTGATCTGTGGAAAGTGCCTCTGGTTTCCTGTAGCTAGACTTAAATGCAATTACATGTATCTACATTGGAGCCTTAGCAAAGAGGCTGGGTCTCTCAGGATGGATCCTGTGAGGTGGGAAATGCAACCTACTTCAGGTTTTTGTGTTGCTGTAGGGGTGGGACAAAGGGGAAGACTGTTGCTGGGCAATGGATGTGGCTGTTCAGTTGCTCCTTCCTCTTCAAGGGCTTTTTGAGAGGACAATTTATGTGATGTGTTAGAGTGATTTTTAGAGAGTCACTGGTTTAGTATCTGCACCTCATGGGAGGGAACTGGTGTCTCCTCCCAACCTTGCTCTTCGAAGCAGCTTATCCTTACTGAGTTCAAGTTAGCATTTAGCAAGTACTTCCCCTGCCTCTTTTTCTCCCCTTCTTTGATGTTGTGCTACCTGAACATCTTGTACCCTCCTCCAGAGAGGTCAGGAAATTTTATCACCCTTTCTCTGATGCAGAACTGAGCCACAGAGATTTCCTGTGTGACTTAGGGCAAGTCCCTTAGCTTCGACAAAGCTGAGACTAGAGCACAGGTCCTAGTCTAGTGCTGCATGAACATATAAATGCTTTTTCTCTTCTGGCAATCACTTGCCATGTTTGTTTAAGTGCCCTGTGAAGACTTTAGCATTGGACAAGGCCAGGGAGCTAATAGTCCTGGTTGGTATCACAGTGCCCCAGGCCTTTTGGGCTTGCATAAAGGAAGGTGCTCTATTTCCCTGGCCAGTAGCCAGCACGCCCAGCATTGCCTTTCTGTTCTGCTACCCCAAGTGCAGGACCAGGCATAATACTGCAGGAAAATGGGATGTGCTCTTGCCACTAGTTGTGGTCATAACATCTGTCAGCAAAGGAGCAGAATTAAGGTCATGCAAATGACCGTAGCATTACCATTTCCTGGGTCAAGTGCCTTTCTTTACAAATATGATGCTATTAATTTCCCTTTTCCCAGGAAAATTCTGCAGCCCTTTTTTTTAAAAGGCAAACGAAGCAAGCAGGTTGCTTCTCACTCCACTGCAGCCAGATATCAGACGCACCATGTAGGCCAGTGTGTGCAAAGCAACAAGACAGGAGTCCTTGTTTGCCACACAAGACACCCCATGCCAAGTGTCTTCCAAAAGCTTTTATCTTGAGGAGCAAAGCAGAGGACAACTCCCTATCTTTTCAACCTGTTCAGCGAGCAAAGATTCAGCAAAAAAAGCCACAGGGCTGAAGTTGTCTTGGTAGGTAGTGGAGGACTCTGCACTGTGCTGACCCTCCTACCCCGCTGGGGTAGCAGGGCACGGAGTTAGCCAGCAGCTGTGCCCCTGCAGTGCCCAGCTGGTGTAGGAGGCTGCTGTGGGCTATTTGATCTGACTGGCCTTGGTACAGCTGTGGAAATGCTTCCTGCATGCGTATGGGAGGGCCAAGCCAAGAAGAGGGAACGTGTGAGTGTGTCCTGTACTTGCTTTTATGTCTTGCTTAAGTTTGATGCTAAGGTTTGATTCCCAGGATGAGGTCTGACATTCCTTGGCATCTACAAAGAAAGTTTAAGACATCCTTGCTTCCAGTGAGTCATGTGTCATCTACATCCAACGCAGGTATCTAAAGCACAGCTCTGCTCTTTCATATCTAACCACATAGATTCAGATTTTTGGTGGACTGCTGTGGTCAGCCTGCGACCTTTGGGCTGTCTCTTTGATGAACTTCTCGTTTTGCTTTTCTGCTAATGCAGCTCCAAAACATCTGCCTCATGTGCCTTAAAAAGGGAATCCTCTGTTCTGGGGTAAGTGTTCCTGGGAGATGTGAACAGCATTGCAAGTTGCCGCTCTAAAAGCCAAAGATAAACTTTCCATGTTGCTTGTAACTTTTGTGGGTCATTCTTTGTGGCAAGAATGCTGCTGTTAACGTTACCTACAGTTGTGGCTGTTGGTGAGCTTCAGCTGTACCGCAGCGTCCTTCACAGCCCCTTCTCTTGTACCAGCTACTGCCATCTGAGTGTCTGCTCAGTGCGGAGAGTACAGCATCCCTATTGTCAGCCCTGCACAGGAGTCCTCCTGCTTTCCTGATGCGTGTGTGTGTCTATGCTCTACTTGACTGCAAAGCATTGAACCCATCACATAATGAGACTGTTTTGTCTCCTTGTGTGGTGGTTATCTGCATAGGCAGCACACGCAGGTGGAGGTTAGGGGAAAATACAGTTACAAGGAGAGGGACCAGTGAAATGGAGGCTCTGCAGCTGTGATGAAATAGCCCCTTTCTCCTGCGGTGGCTTTTGTCCTTCTGTGGTGAGTCCATGAACTGGGACTTTCAACCATGTACATGGTTTCACAAGTGCATTCTTGTTTGTTTGGCTTTGTTTTTCCCCTGTCCCCCCCTTTTGTGCTGTGTGAACCCTCCAGAGCTGCTGCTTATACCAGGCACTGCTGCAAGATCCTTCCAGTGCTGAACTCAAATTATCACTCCAGTAGTTAGAGAACCATTTTGGGGGAGGTACCCGTGTAGGTCTGGTAAATTTTCTTCTGTCCCGAAGAGCTTTAGAGCCCCCATACATCAATGTGTTCTAGATGGGGGCTGAAATGACTCCTATGCTGGTGTGCAGAAGGGATTGCATGGGGAAATAGGACTGGATGGTGTTGGCCCCTCAGGCTGGAGCTTTTGACTGCATCGGTGACCTTCCACCAAAGCCGTTCAATGCCAACTCCTGGTATCTGTCTGTGTCTCTTGCTCCTCCTGCATTTGCCTGCACTGAATCAGCTCTCCCTGGCCCACTTCCTCCTCTGGCAGTCTTGAAATAAGCTCTTTTGCAAGAATGCTGGGCATACAGCTCTCCTCTCTTCACCATCAGTTGCCTACACCGTGCTTGGCACAGCTGGAGTCCAGCCTTGTTTGGAGCTGAGACCAAGAAACAGTACTGGGTGTCTCACAGAGGCTGGAGATGCTGCTGATAACTCCTGTGAGGGTGTTCTAGCACCCAGGAACTGGTGAGCTGCGAGGAGGAGGATGAGTTGGAGTGCTGTGTGGGGACAGAGCAGTGGCCTGGGGCAGAGCCTGAGTGAAAGATTCTCATCCCTTGTAGTGGTGGGGGTCAAGGCTTGGTCCTTGTCCATCTATCTCCCCTTTTAGTTGACAGCAGAAGTCTTGATGCATGGTGGGCAGTCCTGAAGCCCCAGAAGGGCTGTTTCGGGATGTGCTCTGGGGAGAGGAAGGGCTTTCTGAAGGAAAGAATGGCACTGTCCTCCAAACCGTGCTGGTATATTCTACTGAACTTAAATTAAAAATAAATAAATAAATAAGCG